GGGGGGGGGGGGGGGGGTGCCGTCAGCATCTGAGGGACCCCTCCCACCCCTGTACTGGGTCGGCAACACACGCAGTCACGTCTCATTGTAAGCACACACGCGACACGCACAAACACAAAAGCCCAGGCACACACACCCCTCGGCTCTGCCCTGCGCCTCTACCCTGGTGTCCCAGCCCCAAACATGCCATGATGGAGGCCCCTGGGGTCTCTAAGTCCCAGGGCCCCACTCTGGCTCCTCTAACACCCACCCTCTCCTCTGTCTCAGGCTCTTCCCGGAGCCCGGGCCCCGGCTAGCCCCCGCGCCTGCCCCAGGGGCGCACTCACAGCCGATGAGCATGACACAGATAGAGAAGATCTTCTCTGAGTTGGTGTTGGGTGAGACGTTGCCGAAGCCCACGCTGGTGAGGCTGCTGAAGGTGAAGTAAAGGGCGGTGACGTACTTGTCCTTGATGGAGGGGCCGCCCAGGCCGCTGCTGTTGTAGGGCTTGCCGATCTGATCGCCCAGGTTGTGGAGCCAGCCGATGCGGGAGTCCATGTGCGGCTGCTCCATGTTGCCGATGGCGTACCAGATGCAGGCCAGCCAGTGCGCGATGAGCGCAAAGGTGCACATGAGCAGGAAAAGCACGGCCGCCCCGTACTCGGAGTAGCGGTCCAGTTTCCGTGCCACGCGCACCAGCCGCAGCAGCCGTGCCGTCTTCAGCAGCCCGATCAGCTATGGGGGTCGGCGGATATTCAGTGGGGAAGGGGGCAAACGAGGAGTGAGGGCACTGCAGCTCTCGGGGGGCATCGGAGGTGAGATCCCCGAGGAGTTCTCCCCAGAACCTCCTCAAAATAAAAGCGCCTCCCACTCACTGGGCCCAGCACGGAGCCCATTCACCTTCGTGCCAGCTCTGTGACAAAGGGCTCGTGGTTCCCACGGCCAGAATGAGGAAACTGGGGCTCGGAAAGGTGCACCCACCCTCAGGTGCCCGGCCAGAGCTCCCACTAGCTTCCAGGGCACTTTCACGTGAATTAAAAGACAGTGGCCACTTTGGACAGACACATTAGGAAAAGGTGAGCCCTCTGGACCGCTATAACCGGGGAGTGGCTCGTATGGAAAGGGGAGCAGGTGCGGGTTAGCTGGGGCTCTGCCATGCGTCTGCCACCCTCCTTCTGTCACCACCCACCCCTTCACCCCACCACCTGCTGCCCCTCCCCTTGCCCCTGCCTCCTTGCCAACCCACCTCTTCAGAGCCGGAGCCGAAGATAAGCAAGTCAAAGGGGATGGCGGCCACCATGTCGATGAGGAACCAGCCCTTGAAGTAGTGGACGGCGATGCGGCCGGGGTGGCTGACCACCTCCTCGTTGGCGTTGACGTAGGTGGTGCGGAAGTTGATGAGGATGTCCACGATGAACATGATGTCCACGATGAGGTCCACCACAGCCAGCGGCTGGCAGGCGTAGCCACAGTCGGGGGCCGGGGGGCCCTCTTCCGTCTCCTTCAGCAGGCAGGCAGCCGAGTAGGGCGGGAAGCAGGCACTGGCGAGGACCCGCAGCAGG